CCTCCCCCTCTGGCCCGCGCTGTGACCGCCGGTTCTCCCCGCAGCCACCCCTGGTCCAGGCCATCTTTAGCCGAGATGTGGAGGAAGTGCGTTCCCTCCTCTCGCAGAAGGAGAACATCAACGTGCTGGTGAGTTGGGAGCCGGAGGATGGCGAGCCGAAACCTGGCTCGGGGCTCTGCACCCCTCCCCACCAGCGGGGCGGCTCCGTGCCGCTTCAGCGCCGAGGAGCCCGCGGCTCTCTTCGCCCATGGCTTTGCATTTGGGGGATGTGGACCCAGAGTACACCCCGGAGGGACTGGCGATGCCGGGAAACGCTGTTCTCAGCCCCCGGTGCAGCGCCCACAGTCCTCCCCTCTGGGAAGAAGGAGCCGCTTCGCGGGCCCTGGCCCTGACTCCACCCTCCTTAAGTGCTTGTCTTTGACTCTCGGTACCGGCGGCGTTCCGGAGGCTGCAGAACCGATAGGAAGAACTTGAAGCGCCAAGGCTTGGCCTGGGGTCCTCCAGCCGGGATAGTGCTGGCCACAGCCGCTTCTCTTTTCTGCCCTCCCAGGACCAAGAGAGGCGAACCCCGCTGCATGCTGCTGCCTACGTAGGCGATGTCCCCATCCTCCAATTGCTACTGATGTCAGGTGAGAGCGGGGAGCTGGAAGGTGTGGCGCGGCGGGAGGCGGCTTGTCTTCATCCCAGCAGGTCCCAGGGCTAACCTCTGGTACTTGGTCTTGGGGAGGCTCCAATGCCATCCAGATCGTAGGGGCCCCATTGCTGACTTCTCCCTTCCTCACCTCCTCCCATTTAAGAAAGGAGACGATATTCCCACAGGTGCTAATGTCAACGCTAAGGACACACTGTGGCTGACCCCTCTTCATCGGGCTGCTGCCTCCCGAAATGAGGTAGGGGCTCTTCTGCCTCCTCTCACCCTTCCACAAAAGAGGAGTAGCTAAAAGGTGGGGGTTAAGGGCTGGCATGCCTCAATCCTCTGCCCTGCAAGCAGCTGTACCCCCAAGGATAGGGAGGTGACCGGATTTTGGCCTTTCCTCCTACCCCTAGAACTGGCTGGGAAGGGGGAGGCTGAGAGCTGCCAGCTGGTGTGACGTCAGGGAGAGCTTAACACCAGGCTGGCAGGCTGCAGGGGGCCTTGCTGCCAGGCCTGAGTGACTCATCCCTCCCTGGGGGGCCACCTTGGAGTCTGATCCCCTTCTGGGCACTGAGGTTGCTCTCCTTGTGAAGGGGGAAAGGGGCTAGTGATCAGTTGCATGCTTGCTTCTTAAGCACGGTCACCGGACTGCACATGGCTGAATAGCCTTCATCCCATCCACTCCGGAGAGGGAGAAGGGTGACCCAGTGTGGTTAGAGAGCCACTGCCCCCGCTGCAGACGCCTGCCTGGGAGGGTCTTGGGCCAATGGGAAAGAGGTGGCTGGGGCCTGTGAAGGGCGCTTGAGCCTCCGTTTGGGAGCAGGAGAGTCTGTTTATAGGGGTAATCGAAACATTGCAGTGGCTGTGGAAGCATTGAAGAAGGGTGTTCAGGGCATTGATAGAGCAGGAGAGTTGATTGGTCTCTAAAATGACTGGGGGCTTGGGATCCTCCACGTGTGAGGGTTTGGTTGGGAGTGGATGTGTATGGGAGTCCGCGTTGGGGAGTGACACCATGCTAAGGAGCTCTCAGAAGACCTAGAAGGCAGAAAAGGGGGATGGAGAGGCTGGGTATGTTGGAAAATCGAGAGGAGAATCCATTCTGGGGGCCGTGTGGCTGTGTATGCCAGGCTGACTTAACTCCTCTTGTCATTTCCTGTGGTTTTACCTCCTGCTCCCTCTCTGTCTTCTCAACAGAAGGTGCTGGGGCTGCTGCTGGCACATTCAGCAGATGTGAATGCCCGAGACAAGCTGTGGCAGACACCACTGCACGTGGCGGCTGCCAACCGGGCCACCAAGTGTGCTGAGGCCCTGGCACCCCTTTTGAGCAGTCTCAACGTGGCTGACAGGAGCGGACGCAGTGCCTTGCACCATGCAGTGCATAGTGGGCATCTTGAGGTGAGGACTGCTCCCAGCCAGCCGCAACCCCATTCCTTCCCCGGGGCCTCCTCTCTCTGCTCACCT